TTGGCACATAGTAGGAGACAAAATGGTCATAGCTTGTTGGAGAATGGAGACAAACAATAAGGTCATTACCATCGGTGGAATAGTGATATCAGGAAAGTTCTATATGTAATGCAAGTCCATAGGAAGAGCTGTTCCTATGATCTGTCAGCATCTAGTGGACTTCCTGGACAAAAATCACACCTGTGCTAAACACAGGAGGTATGAGTTGGCCAAGCAAATTTTATAGGTCGGAAGAGATCTGGGCAGAAGCAACAGTGTATGTGAAGGCTCAGAAACATGCTAGCCATGGCTGCAATCATGCATGGAAGAAGTTCAGCAGCATGAGGGTCTAGACAAAGGTGTTATAGGCAGCAACTGGAAGGAGGTAATCTCGCAGGAAGAGAGTGAGATGAGGCTGCAGAAGTAAACATGCACTTGCGTAGGCCATGCAAGACCCACTAGTGATTTTAACTTGAAGCTATTTCTTTCTTCCTAAATGAAATGGCAGAAAAGTTGGCAATAAAGTACTTGATGGGGTGGGGGTGATTGTAATTGGATTTGATATCTTTTTAATTTGGCAAAGTCATGAATATATTGAAGAGGAAAAGAGGGAAGGCAGAAAAATGACAGTGTCCTATTATAGGTAAGTCACAGCAAATGTGCAGAGCAATGGGCACGTGTGAGCATGAATAAGAAAATGATCAGTAAGAGGTGCTGGCTGATTGGCCAGTGGGCAAAAGACATCACAGTGCTGGCTGCTGTGCAGGCTCCAGGTCTCACCAGCTTCACAGAGCAGAGAGATGCACATCTACAAAGCAACCTCTACAGCTAAGGCTCGTGGAACATAGAACAGGGATAAAGAGGACACTAATGAATCTCTCAGTTCTCAGTAATGAAGCTCCCTCATGCAGCAGAGGGCCCAGAACACAAAAGGTCACAAATGGCCAAAATGTAGAGATCAAGAGTCTAATGAATAATGGTCCTTGGGCAACAACCCTTTATTAAACTTCTCCCACTCAAGGCTCAGGGACCATCGCAGAAGAGGGGGCAGAAAGACTGTAAGAAGCAGGAAGGAGGTGCATGACCATATGGAAACAGTCCTACAAGCTCCTGGGAACTTGCTCATATAATTCTATGGCAATGGTGTCAGCACACACAAGTCCCATGAAAAGTCAGGCAGACAAGAACCTAGCATAGAACTGGGAAAATGAACAGCAGACCCCAATCTTATCTGAAGGAATGTTGGCAACTAATTGCAACTGGATAAAGAAGAGCTGATCTTCCTAAAACAAGGGACTCTAGATAGGCTGACTAGACTCAGTGGACAGACTTGCATTGGGGAAGGGCTGGGGACACTGAATACACAGTGGGGTTTAACAGAGATGACAGAGTATATAGGCTCCAGTTGTGGGGGAACTATGGGAGGGTGCCAGAGGGGACGAGGGGTATAAAGATGATCAAGATTATTTGAGATGTTCTGTATGAAATGCTGTGTAAATTCAGTCTTCCCAAAGCAACTTATTTACTTCCTTATAAATTGCTTTATCCTATGATTGAACTGTTTGTATCCTGAATTCTATATTATGTTTCAAATTTGCTTTGTAACTACATTAAAACCATCCCTTAAAATTAAAAAAAAATGTGGCTTTACAAAGGAGAAGAAGGAGAAGAAGGAGAAGAAGGAGAAGAAGGAGAAGAAGGAGAAGAAGGAGAAGAAGGAGAAGAAGGAGAAGAAGGAGAAGAAGGAGAAGAAGGAGAAGAAGGAGAAGAAGGAGAAGAAGGAGAAGAAGGAGAAGAAGGAGAAGAAGGAGAAGAAGGAGAAGGAGAAGAAGGAGAAAGGAGAGGGCTGGAGAGGTAGCTCAGTGGTAAGAACACTTTCTGCTCTTGCAGAGGACCAGTTCAGTTCCCAGCATCCACGTTAGAGGACTCCCAATCACCCGTAACTCCAAGTCCAGGGGATCTAATGCCATCTTCTGACATCTTTGGGTAACTGCAAGGATGTGGTGCTCATAAACTCACAAAGCTCACACATATACACATAAAAATAAGTAAATCTTTAAAAAGTAAAGAAGACCAAAAAGAAAACTCAGAGAAAACAATGGCTGCTGGAGAAATAGGAAAAGGGAAGCAAACTAGGAAAGGAGAATGAGAAGAGACAGAGGGGAAACGTGGGGCAGGAAGGACATGGCACAGAACTGAGAAGGACAAGTTTTGAAAAGCAGGGTGTGGCCCTTTGTGGCCTAACAAGGAGTCTGTTTGGTTTTTAAAGGTGTTTTATTTGTTGAGGTGGTGATCTGTCTGTTTTGCCTTTTTGTTTTGCTTTGCTGTCTGGAGAAAAGATCTCAAGTCACTCAGGCTGCCTTTGAATCTGCTATATAGCTGAGAGTGATTTTGAACTCCTGATCCTCCTGTCTCTACCTCCTAAAGGTTGGATTACAGGAATGTGCCACAATACTTGTCTCTGACTCTGACTTTGAGGTGTGACTGCCTAGGTCTGGTGCCTGAGTCTGTTTTTATACCTGACCAAGACTGTGGCACAGAGCACGCTCAAAGGAACGTGCCTTCCTTGACTCTCCAGGAAGAATGGTAGAAAATTACAACCAGGAGCTTGGAAGCCAAAGTCAGTACTTATCCTTTGTTTTCCTGTAACAACAGATTTGGGGAAAATCAAGAAGGGAATACATTCAGCTGACATTTTTAAATGCTTTTTATTTATTTTAAAATTATGTATATGTGTGTGGTTATGTGCACATGAGTTCAGGTACCCTTGAAGACCAGATGCCTCACATGGCCCTGGAGCTGGAGTAACAGGTGATTATGAGCTGCCCAGTATAGGTGCTATGAATCAAACCCAGGTTCTCTGGAAGAGCAGTAAGTGCTCTTAACTGCTGAGCCATCTCTCCAGCCCTCAGCTGACATTTTTGTAGTTGCTTCCTTCCTTTAAAAGAAATGAACAAGGGGGCTGGAGAGATGGCTCAGAGGTTAAGGGTACTGACTGCTCTTGCAGAGGACCCGGGTTCAATTCCCAGCACCCACATGGCGGCTACGAACTGTCCTTAACTCCGGTTCCAGGGGAATCCAAAGCCCTTTTCTGACCTCCGTGACATTGCAGGACATGGGTGTATTCACATACATGCAGGCAATACACTCATACACATAAAATAAAAATGATAAATAAAATATTCAGAAAAAGAAAGAAATGAACAAGACCTGGTATGGTGGTGCATGCTTTTAATACCAGCACTCCAGAAGCAGAGGCAGGCATATCCCTGTGAGACTGAGGCTAACCTGGTCTATGTAGCGAGTCCGGGCCAGTTGAGACTACAGGGATATCCTGTCTCAAAAAGACAAGGGCCAAAGGGAGGGGAAGGGAGGGCTGAGCATGGTGGTTCATACCCCAGGAGACTAAGGCAGGAGGATTGCTGTGACTTTGATAGTAGACTGTGCTACAAAATGAACCCTGTCTCAAAAGCCCAAAGTAAATAAATGAGAACCAGCACCTAGCATAACATTTATATTGGACTTCATAATTTATAAAACCCTTTCACTACCTTGTCCAACTTTCATACCCTGAACAATGCCATATTAGAAATGAATATTTCCCTTCCTGTTATGGATGCAAAAATTAATACACATGGATGTTAACTAGATTGTGCACTATCATGCAAATAAGTTGCAAACCTGAACCATCAAGCAGTTGTATACACACACACACACACACACACACACACACACACACATTGTACAACTGCATAAAATCAGCCTGTGCCTCTTTTCTCTGGATTGACTTTCCTGCCTGCTTTTCTCTGCTTCTCCTCTTCTCTGTGCATATCCTAAGAAGAATTTGAGGGCCCCATTTGTCTGACTCTGGGCTATTTCCACACAAGTAGAACAAGGCTGACATAGTTCATTGGGTAAACACAAGTGGCAAGCAACAGTGATTTACTCCCAACTTGCAAACTACTGATTACCAATCTGTCACCTGCTATATAAACAGGTGTAAACTAAGATTTAATCAGTTTACACAGCACTGGTAAATAATTTAATCTCTCCTTAGCACAGTGCTTGCGAATGTAAATGTTTAAGCCCAAACTGATGTTGACATTGTGATGCAAGCCTCCAGTCTCTCAGCCAGAAAAGCTGTGTCCACAAATGGCTCTAAGTGCCCCTACCCAGGGGCAGGAATGTGGGAGGGAGGCAGAAAATCCAGAGTCCCTTGTGGAGGCCTCATTTTACCAACGTAAAGCTTGGCCATGAGCCTAGAGAGGTAGGGGTTATCTTTCCACTCTTAGCTTCCCCATACTGAAATGTTTGGTCCACCCACCCCCATAGTGATCCTGTCTCCATGCTTGGTGTCCCACCCAGTGTTTGTTCCTCCCTGACCCCCATGCCTTCAGAAAGAAGGCATAAAGTTCATGGAGGAGAAAGCAAAAATACTAAAATAGCAAAATTGATAGCTAAAGATGTTGCATTTTGTTTAAAATATTAGCTTACTGAGTTTTGTCTCATACATATTAATTTATCAACTATTTCAGGTAGATGTTATTATCATTCCATTTTCTAGTTGAGAAAACTGAGGCAACTCTCCCCATATCTCACATCTAGTAAGCCTCCTGGGTCCCAGCCAGGCAAGTCTCCCTGGGCTTCAGTGAGCTGTACTGATGTACTGATGAGGTCAGGCACTGAGTTGGACTCAGGTGTCCTATATAACACTCAGGACGCTTATTATTTTAACTAAAGAAAATGATAATTAGGTCAACCACACCCCTACCCCCCCCCAAGGACCTGTATGTTAGAGAATGGAATCTTTCATGGGAGAAAATATCTTTAAAGGAAACATACTGTCATGGTTAGAGAATATGTTTGTGCATGGATAGAGAAATTATACAGAAAAGCAAACACAGCAAACAGTGGGTATTCCAGAGGCCTTAAAATAACTTCTAAATAAGTGGTTTGCTAATGAGGGAATAGGAGAAAGGTACACAGCAAGGAGAGTGTGGGACCAAGAACACGACACTTACTTCCTGGCTTGACTCCCTGCACTTTCCATCACGTAGTAACCTGGTTTGCATTCATATCTGCAGATGGTGCCCACGTCGTGGTTGCCCTCGAGGCAATTTGGCAGGAGCAGGTTGGCATTTGGAATAACGGGAGGGGCATCACATTCCAACTTGCAGTAGACTTCAGGAAGAGACCAGAGCCCATCTTCCAGACAGGTCAGCCATGGGCTCAGTCCTGACTCCAGAAAAGAGAAGCACAGGGTACTCAGAACAGAGAACATGGAGCACAGCAAGAAGAATAAAAACCCATAGATATATATCGGCATCCTGTAAGGCCCGCTGTTCTTTTTGAGCAGTGTCTCTAAAATCTCCCATGAAAAGTATGTTCTTAACACAGCACCCAATGTTCTATATACAGTAGAAGTCACAAATATTTATTAGCCTCAATGAAAGAGGGGCTATCAATCAAATCATTACCTTCCTCCCTTCCTACAAGTAATAGAAAAAAACAGTTATAGAAATATGGCCGCATTAAAATAGTGCCAGATGACACTTGAATACTGATCACCACCAGGCAGTATTCCAAGCATGTGTTAGCTTATATAAACTTCAAATAACAAACAACTCTATCAAATAGATATTATTATCGATTGGGCACATAAGGAAATGGGGGTTTGGTAACTTGCCCAAGCTTATAAAGTTTGTATTTGAACCAGGTAGTTCGGAACTCTTTAGTAGAGTTCTGAGCATAAATATTACACCATGCTCTTCACTGTAACTCAGTTTTTCCCAGTGTAACCCAGGGCTACTGAGTGACATAGCATCACCAGCATGTTAGACATACTAAATGAGAATCTCTCAGAGTAAAACTGAGGTATCTTCATGTGTAATGAGTCATTATTAGACACACCAAAGACTGAGAATTGCGGGGAGATAAAGAGAAAGGTGTGGACCAGTTAGACCAGTCCCTCTTCATCTCAATTAACTCCACAACCAAGAACACACTATACGAGTATGTTCTCCTCCTCAACAAAATAGAATAAAACACGCCTTATTTAGAATGGTTGCAGATATTAACATTTAATAGTATATACCTTGGTTGTTAATATTATCAGGACAACTATGCTGTTTGGTTTGATTCTGATAATGCAAATAAAAACAGAAAATAAAGTTACATCTGTTAACAACTCTATAAGCCAGGATATCGCTCCTGATGGTCCAGGACAAAGAATGGTGACTTTGTTGGGATTTTATGTTATCAAATGAGGGCATCATAGGAGAGCAAGTGGGAAGCATATATGGGTAAAAAAAATGAACCCAAAAGTACCTCCCCCAAAGAGTGAGGGACTGCGGAGAGTGTGCATGCAATTCCCTGACAAAGAAGACAATACCTTGGAGCTTGGCTGGTGGGACACAGGTGATAGAACAACGTTTCAGGAAGTCAGTGCCCTCCAAACAAGAGAAATTGGCATAGTTCACCAAGGACAGATCAGGGACACCACAGTCAAGGCGCACACAGCTCACATCTTTGTCCCAGTGCCCAGCAGAACAAGTGAGGAGAATCTTCTTCTAGAAACAGAGAATTTACTTCTGTCAAGGTCACATGAAATGGCTATCAGAACAGCTTCCAGGATTTGGAAGGGTCCAGTGCTCATTTGTCCTTTGGTCTTTGTCCTTCCTTATGCCTCACTGTTTTAGTACATGGTCTCAGGGGTGATGTAGATGGAGGGAACCTGCTTGTGCTAGGGAGTCACTATTCTTCCAGGCCATGTCTCTTGGTTATCCTGTCCTTCCATTTTCAGTCCCTGTCCAATTTGCTCTGGGCTCTGGGTTTCATGCCTCTTACCTGTACTTGAGTTCCTGCCCTGGAACCTGGTAGCAGATGACGAGGAAGAGAGAAAAGGGAGGCTTGGGCACTTATTCTACCTGCTCCCCCCTGAACACTGGCTGTGGGTTGACTCATCCTGTGACTAGCCTCCCTGCCCCACTCTGCTCAGCCTTCTGATGGGCTCTGCTGCTCCCCACAGCTGACCTTTCAGGCCTAAAGATGACAGCAGAGGCCCTTTACTCTGGGCTATTGCATAGCTCCTGCACTTTCTTACATCCTGCCCACAGCTTTGGTAAGCAGCCTTTTTATTAATTTCTCTCAAATTACCAACTTTAACCATGTCACCTGTTTCCAACTGGCAGTTTTATTAATGAGTGTACTAATAATGCTCATGAAAACAATTATCTTTACCAAGAATGGTTCACAGTATTTAGAATAGCTGAGAGTTAATGCACACAAGGTGCCTTCTGACTTGTGGTTAAACAGGAGTGAGTCCCGCCATGCCCTAGAAACTGCCATTTCAGTAGATGGCCCTAGAGCACATTGCTACTAAGTAAATGAGGACCTATGTACTGTTCCTAGAAGGACCAAGTCCTGCACTAAACAAGATGCCCTCCAGGAACTAAAAATCTGTAAGTGGAAAAAATCGTGTTTAAGAAGTGTCTAAGAAAGCATCTAAAGGAGGGAAAAGAGAAGAGGTGAGGCAGCAAAGGGGGTTAGATGGAAAAGGGTAACAATAGATTTTAATTTGATATAAAGTAGCCCTTATCCCCATCTATAAGGACTGGAGAGAATACAGTATAAAAACCACAAATAAGAAATAAGAGAAGTCAAAAAACTAAACTCCAGGAGAAAATAATAACCCTGGAAACTCAGGACATTTTATCTGGCCTTGAAAGGAGGGACTACCACTCTCAAACAGGAACTAGGTAAATGGGCACTCGACTTGAAAGATGGTTGGGGCTTTTGAGCAGCTCAGGGATGTCCAGGTAGGACTTGGAGTGAGCAGGGACTTAGGGACTATGAAACTCACAGTTTATTTTGAGAAAAATAAATCTCTGGTCATGAGGCTAATGGTCAAAGACAGAGAGAAGAGTTTCGGTGGTGAAACTCCAGTCATCTCATCAGGAGATCACACTGGCACCAAAGCTGAAGGTCCACTGACTGCTGAAGGCACCTATCACCCCTGACACCACCTCTTGGCTCACTGCTCCTCCCTGCTTCCCAGTATGTCTCTGTTGCCTGCCAGAAGGATCTAAGTCAAAGCCAGACACATTTTTCTATTTAGCTTCAGTTCTCGTGTCAACAGAAAGCAAATATTCCCACTGTCTTGTGATCATGAGCTGGGGTTGTACAATTTCCTGCATGAGGCCAGCGTTGGGTGACAGTGGCAGGTCAGCGGCAGAGCAATGTTGCTTACTCCAGCATGTGTCTGGCAGGGGTTACCTCCTATCTTCCTTCTAACCAGGTTGTGCTCCTCACACTTAGCATGACTGGGAGGCCTGGTTCAAACTGCAGCAAGCCACTGATTGTTTAAAGAGGGTCTCTAAACTCTGTGTGTAACGCCTGGGTTTTTTCATGGCTTTCTTAGGTATTGTCCATTTTTTGTTTTAAATTTGCTCTCAACTTTAGTTCATTCTGTAAACACTGCCTTTCTTCCTCCACTCCTCTTTTCACATACAGATATTTAGTTACTATCTTGTTTCATAATTTCTACTTTATTTTTAGGGTGAATGTCTTTTTTGCCTTATTTGAGAGAAGGTATTTGTAGACCAAGAAGTTGGTGCTCAAGGCTCATTAAAGCTGTTCCTATCCTGGTAATTTCACAAAAGTTTCTGAAATTCAAGATTGTGTCTTTAAATGCTGACCATTTCTAAGCAAGTAAAATTCTTCCACAGGTTCACAACCTGTTAAGCAACCAATTGGCACAAAATTGAAACAATTCCAGTCTCTCAAACCATTGCTATCTGACTAACCATCATGTGTCTGTTCTTTTTCCATGGTCAGCATTTTCTGGCTCTCTTCTCAAGTACCACTGGGTTTTACCTAGTGTATCCTTCCACTGTCTCATAATGTGATTCTGTTTTCTAGTGGTTCATTTTGTCTTTATAATTCTTCTGTAGAGTGTGGTAAATCCTCTCAGTTAGGACTATATCAACCAGGCACCTGACGTCTGTCATTCTGCTAGAAGCATTGAGATAATTTTCATCAGTTATCATAAAATTCAACAAGTACTTGTATTTGGATTATTTACAAATGTGAAGCAAACCAAAAGAGCTTATTTTGTGTTTATTTTTTACAAAAACTTACACACCTAATACACAGTGGGGAGAAAATCTCACTCAGATGTCTCTTGAACCATGTACTTAGCCAATATATTCTAGTACCTCCAGATCACCCTGAAATCCAGGAAACAATGCAGCTGAAATTTGGAACGGAATATGGAAAATGGGGAAAATCCAATACCATCATAGACTCTCAGCCTCGGTAGCAGAGTTCATGTTTTGGGGGAACATTATGTTGTATTTCTCAGTCCTTCTTGAAAGGTAGTTGGGGAAGCAAGAGGCTGATGATGAATCTCACAAAAACTGGCAGCAACGTATTTTGCCTGTGAACTATGACCAAGCACACTTTGAGGCATTCTCATCTTAAAGGCAGAAGCTTTGAGTGCAATTTCTGAAAAGAAGACAAATCAGGGGAGAACTGAAGAAAAGTCATATCTACTACGAACCTAGAGAGAAAATGTAGACCCTTAGGGAATCAGAGTTGCACATGCTGAGACACCATGCATTTTTGTTCAGCCTTGCCTTCATAGAGCCCACAGTCTTTCTTCTCACAGACTTAAAAAAAACATCTGCCTTCCTAGTGTATCCAGGGAGAAAGCATGAATAGCCTTGTGCCTCTAGAAATTGTTCCTGCTGGCGCGTCCAACTCACCTGTATGGGCCTGAGGTACTGCCCACCGCTGGTTTGTAGGGCAAACCCCCTTTGACAGGTGATAACACACTTCATGTGACCTGGGCCACTAGAGGTACAATTTGCCATGTCCACATGATCAAGCAGCAATGGCACACAGCTGCCCTGTTCCCCACATGACTGACGGACACAGCTGGGGATGACAGAAACAGAAACATCTTAGGGCAGGCTTAGATAGCAGTAATGACTTTGAAGCTCCTTCTGAGAAATACGCCTAAATTGAAAAGAATAGTTTTTCTTTATAGCCTACATGAAATACATTGCTCTCTTCTGTATCACTTAGAACTATGAGGCATGATAAACAATGACAGCTAACAAGTATCAATTGATCAACGTTGTATGGCTCTTCCTTGACAGCAAATTGTAATAGGATGAGGTAGAGGACAGATCCCAAAAGTTCTGGATACTCTCAGAAGCAAATAGATCAGGGGAAGTTACTTGAAATTTTTAGGTCTCCAACAATCAGAACAGACCCAGGAGAAAGTTAATGGATAGATCCTGGTGAATCTGGTTTTGTTAGGCATTGGCCTTTTAGGTAACTGATCACAAGGATGTCCAAGGGTGCCTGTTTGATGGGCTTGAATATCTGAGATGATGATGATTTACTGGTTGATATGAAAATATTTTGATTACTGGTACGTAACAGTACATGCCTCTGAATAACAGCATAGACTAAGGAAACCCATCAGCATGTGTTGAATCCCCATCACATCCTTAACATTGTGCTGCACACTTCCAGAGACATCGTCTCAGCAGAGAAATGCTTCTTGAATCAGCAGGATCAACCATAAACAGCCAGAGAGATATATAACCTTCCTAAGGTTCGAGGAGACTCAGCCGGAATTGTAATAGTAGCACTGATGCAAAGCAATGGAGCAAGAACAGCATAGCTCTCCAGTCACAGCAGAACCACAGTTTAATTCAAATATTACCACCAGGCTATTGGTCGTTAATCCTGGCTCCACTAGTTAATACTTTTGTGATATAGAATGAGTTAGTCACACCCCCGTGTTTCAGTTTCTTCCCCTCTATAAAAGGAGACCTATGGGGACCCAAACTGATCTTGTTCCCAGGTTAGCTCCCCCTACTGCTCTGCTGCTCAAGGTCCAACCCTACCTCAGCGTCTGTTTGCTGTTGGCTCCCTTCTTTTTTGTTCTCTCACTTCTATACTTTTTTTTCAGTTTACTGAGAGTCCCACAAGGCCTTCTTTCATCAAGAAGCAGGCCTCCCCCAGTAACCTTCTTCCTTCAAACATCCTAGTGAAGTCACTTCCTTCTAATGATTCTTTTACTTGATCTTCTACTATGTATATTTTCTTTTTCTTAAATCAGTTAACTAATACCAAGGAGACAATGATTATCTGAGCGTGTCTTTAAACCCACAGCTAGAGTATGACTTCTTGAAGGAAAATACTTCTTCTTACCCAATTTCAAATTTACCATACTCCTTACTGTATTAGAACCAATAAAATCTTGCTTAATTAAATTTGTTCCTATTTCAGGTAGCAATGCCAATACTATTAAAATGGAAAATGTATTAAGCACAGAAGAAAATTATCATCCAACAATGGTTCAACCATCTTGCCCAATCATTGATTCACTAATAAACACAAAGGGCAGACTCCTTGCAAGACATTGGTCTGAGCATAAGGATTAGGCCCTTAAGGAACTCAGTCTAGTGGTAGAGACTGACAGGATGTTTTTTACTCTTGGTGTCTTGACAGTGGTGCTCTCACTCATTATCATGAATGTGCTCTCTTTGCCCTTGGATTGTATTAGTGGTCAATGACTTGATCAGAGGATTGAGTGACAGTATAAGAATATAGGAAATTGGGGCTGGAGAGATGGCTCAGTGATTAGGAACACTGGCTGTTCTTGCAGAAGACCTGAGTTCAAATCCCAGCACCCACATGGCAGCTAACAACTATCCGTAACTCCAGTTCCAGGGAATCTGATGGTTTCTTCTGTTCTCTGAGGGCATTGCATGACACGGGGGCACTTACATAATGCAGGCAATACTTGTTAGAGGTTGCAGAAAGATTGTAAGATGCAGGGCTGGTTCATGAATACAGGACTTTCAGGCCACTGGAAACTTTCATATGCTAACTTGTAACAATGGTGGCATTGAGCACAGGGCCCATGCCAACTCAAAATCAGACAAGGGCCCAGAGTGGAGCAAGAGAAATGAGTGGTGAGCCTGCCCTAGACTGAGAACTATTGTAGACTGATTGCTACTGGGTGAGGGCGAGTACTCCTTACTTATAGTCTCTAGACAGGCTGACTAGACTCCAGTGGACAAATCTGCACTGAAGGACATCTGGTACAAA